TCATGATGGAAGTGCATGTTATGGGAGGGGGGGTTAATGGTGGTGGTACACATTCTGGGGGGTGGGTTGTGGAGGGATGGTGCACATTACCGGTGGGGCTGCATGGTACCTCTGTCCGGCATCCCACCAAGCTCTCTGACATCATTGGTTGCCAGGAGCTCAGTGGGATTCCAGCCAAAGTGTCCCACTCAGCTGCTGGCCCCCAGTTACATCAGTGAGCTGGGCGGTATGTCGGCCACAGTGTCCCAGGTTGCTAAGAGCTTTTAGCAACCTGGGATGCTCTGGCCAAAGAGGGGGTGGCAGGTACACCTGCCATCCTCCAAATGACCCAATGGGATGTTGCCTGAGGCAACTGCCTCAGGCTACCTTATTATAGAGATGACCCTGACTTTACCCACCTAACCTTCTTTATATGACCAAAAAAAGCGAACCACTTTTACAACCACACTTTGAGCTGCTTAGGCCCTTTACTCAGTGGATGTGTTTCATGGGAGGGTATTTAAGATAGTTTAGCTAATTTAATTTAGTCTGATTTGCTTTTGTAGTGTTTCCTTTTTTGTGGATTTGATTGTTAATTGTTCTGAATCTTATGTTTTCTTATTTTAAATTGTCCTGCTTTTTTTTCTGTAAAATATTTTTGACAATGGGCTAATAAGGGGACACTTTTTGGCACAAGAAAAGGTCTAGTATAGTTTTAAAAATCAGTAACCCTCAGGACCCATTGCACCAAGAAAAAAAAACAGCTAAAACCTACCCCAAATTATTCTAACGTATTACATCAAAACGACAACATTTAGCAGACATTTCCTGATTTTTACGGGATATTTTGGAAAACAACAACTTTCAATTTCCCTCTTCCCTAATCTTTAGGCAGCTAGATGGCTTTGCTCATGAAACAAACTGATTTTGTTTCAGTTTTTAAATATCATGTCTCAGTTCAAAATACTGTATATAAAACCCTCCAAAAAAACCTAACTATGATACTTACTTTGTCACTCTCCAGTTGACATCAGAGGGACCATCAACATGATACAACCAGCTTGGCATCCCCCAATATGTTCTTAATATATATGGTAAACCTTACAAGTTGTTGCCCTTATATAGACTTATTTAAATTAATTCCCTATTAGACCTTTCAGTTAACCTGTGATAAAAACCAAACTTGGCAAAGGAATGTCTGCTCTGTGGGCTGCAGGCCAGAGAGGCGGATAATAGGGAGTCATCATCCTTTTGTGATATTGTGCACTAATAATCTAGGACAGAGGAGGAGGGCAGTAATACAGAGTCTGCACATTTAAAGGTCCTGGAACCCTTGGCTGTTGAATTGCAAATTGTATTGATCAGTTTGCCTTTAGTTGTCCTTTAATTCCCAAAAGTTTTTTCTGTGTCCACTATTTGTTTTATAGTAGAAAGATAATATTACAAGAGGTAAAAGAGAAAAAATGAAGGAGTGTAAAGGGCTCCTTACAGTTATAATTGCCCAGATATAAGTAGCTAAAGAAGTGTGGTTTAGTGGAAATAAGTATTGTTGCCCAGGGTTCCAGATTTTAAAGGTATCTAGTGAGGGAGTAATTTTGGATGTTGGTTAAGTTTTTCATTACATTGGATATGTTCATGCAATTTTGACTTCCATTAGGCTTACTGTACTTTTTTTTCAAGAGTTGGCTATAGCTTCCCATGCAGCAAAAAGTGTTTCACTAGGCTTTGTTTGCTTGTTGAACCATCAATTTTTTCAAAGCCATTTTTACTTCATTATTTCTCAAGCTGTAAATAAGAGGGTTTATCATGGGTGTAACCATCGTGTAGATCACAGAACAGATTTGTTCTAGGACAACTGAATATTTTGGCATCATGTAGACAGACACAGCGGTGGTATAGTACATGACAATGACAATGAGGTGAGAGGAGCAAGTGGAGAAGGCTTTCTTACGCCCTTCCCTGGAATTAATTTGCAAAACAACTTTAATAATTTTTATGTAAGACATCAAACTGCAAAAGAATGGTAAAAACCCAAACATTAAAATCTCTATATATATGATGGTATACATGTAATTCAGACCAGCACAGGCAATGTTCATGAGAGCTTTTCCATCACAGAAAAACTGGTGGATGATATTTGAATGGCAAAAAGTCCTGTTTGATGCCTGAAAAGTGATTACAAATGAATTGAAACTTCCTACTAACCAGATCCCGGCCACTAGAAAGATGCAATTCTTCTTATTTAGAATAAGATGGTAGTGTAAAGGGTGACAAATTGCAACATACCGATCAAATGCCATTGTCAGTATCAAAATATCCTCAGCACTTGCATCTAAGAAATAGAAATACATCTGAGTGAAGCACTCTCTATAGGATACTGTGGTATTCCTGGATATAATCATGTACAGAAGTTTAGGAACAGTGATTGTGGTATAGAAAATGTCAACAATGGACAAGTTACAGATAAAGTAGTACATTGGGGTGTGTAGGTGCTTAGAAGAAAATATCACAAATATTATGAATGCATTCGTGAACACACCAAATACATATATCAAGGAAAACAAAGCGAGATACAAAGGTATGAATCTGGATTTCATGGAAAATGGCAAGATGTAAAACTCCTTTGTAGATGTCTGATTCTCCATGGCTATGTAGGTCATGACAGCTGGATCAAAATGTAAGCAAAATTAAAAGCATAAAGATACACTGCAATCACAATTTAAAACTAAACCTTGTGATGAACAAAGCCTACCTGCCCAGGATTTTCATTTCAGTACAGCGTTGCATGACGGAATAAATGTCAGTTAAAGTACCGCAGCGCTGAATACTGAAAAATGGCCTGGATGGGAAGGGGGTTTAACACCGCGGATGTCAACTGGTTAAGGTACATTAATGACCTTGTTTGCAGTTGCTGTTTATTGGATTACATATATTTTATGTCTAAATTGTATGGTACAGTGTATCTAATTGAATCTTTGTGCTGAGTTATCTGCAGTCCTTAAATTAGCTTACAGCTTTTGTTAAACTTTAAGAATTACCTGTGAACAAACTGCACAAATCATTTTTAATCAATATGAAGAATTATTGCTGCTTCTCCTTTGGATACATCTACCAGTACACATAATGACTTTAGTTCAGGTTTAGTAACTACTGACTATAACTGAATATGTTTTAGGAGCTCAGAGTATGATCTCAGTCTAAATACAAGGATCACCAGTCACTCATGTAGCACTTATCTACATTATCAAAATATGTCATACGTTTCCAACTTTTTTGAAGACAAAATTGTAAAAAATATCACAATGCTTTCAGATTGCAGTATCAGCTGAAGGTTAATTTTAAATAGAACAGAAAATGAACCGTGACGTTCGACAAAGAGCAGACATTTATTTTCCAGAGAGGAATAAATTATCTGATCATTTATAATAAACAGGCTCCATAAAAATGAATTGCACATTTAAAAAAATTCTTTGGGGAGAAAAAATAATCCCAAGCTTCATTATCTCTAACTCAACCCTTTGGAGATAACATTGCACAATCATATTTAGAATAACTGTTTTATTTTAAATGTATTTTTTTTAAAAGTCTAGATTTTGTGACTTTAAACTTCCCAAAATTGTGTGCACACATACCAAAAACGTTGTTAGGAATATATGGTATGAGAAAGAGCTGTGTTTTTCTTTCTTATGTTGTTTTCTGAGATCATTCTCAGAGGGGAATACACTTTCAATGTCAGGGTCCACATTACCATGGACACATGGACCAGCAAGCATGGGCAGGCAGAATTTCCTGTATCACTAGAGGCATCACCAGCAGAAAGAACCAGATGCTGATTCCTTTTTATATATCTTTAGTTAGACCTCATTTAGAATACTGTGTCCAGTTCTGGGGACCTTGCTTAAATAAAGATATGAATAAGTTAAAACGAGTCCAGAGATGAGAAACAAAAACGGCGAAAGGTCTGAGAAACTCCCACATCCTCTTGAGTACCAAATGTGGGGAAGAGGCACTTGTCCTCATCAACAGGGCAAGAAGGTGCTTTGCGGGTGGGTCCTTCCCTGGCAAGGAAAGTACCCCTCCCGATATTGAGGGCATGTGGTTTGGTATGATTCAGGAAGGAGGGGCACATGTTCATTGCCCCCTTCCTTTCATGTCCTACCACGTTGTATGCTTGGATTATGGTCTGCATAGATGACTTTGGTCTTTGGCCTCATTTATGTGGGCTGTGTTATAGGATCGTTATGTTGGAAGGTGAACCTTCGGCCCAGTCTGAGGTCCTGAGCAATGTGGAACATATTTTCATTGAGGATATCTCTGTACTCCATTCAGCATTCCCTCAGCCCTGACCAGTCTCCCAGTCCCTGCTGCTGAAAACACCCCCACAGCATGATGCTGCCACCACCATGCTTCGCTGTTGGGATGCTATTGGGCAGGTGATGAGCGGTGCCTCGCTTCCTCCAGACATAACGTTTAGAATTTAGGTCAAATTGTTCAACCTTGGTTTCATCAGACCAGACAATCGTGTTCCTCACATTCTGAGAGGTGCTTTTCTGCAAACTCCAGGCAGGCTTTCATGTGTTTTGCACTGTTGAGAGGCTTCCATCTAGCCACACTGCCAGAAAGGCCAGATCATTGGAGGGCTGCAGTGATGGTTGTCCTTTTGGAACTTTGTCCCATCTCCAAACAGCATCTCTGCAGCTCAGTCAGCGTGATCATCGGTTCTCAGTCACCTCTCTTGCTAAGCTCGTTCTCCCCCGATTGCTCAGCTTGGCCAGGTGACCAGCCCTTGGAAGAGTAATGCTTGTGCCAAATATCTTCCATTTGAGAATTATGGAGGCCACTGTGCTCTTGGGAACCTTCAGTGCAGCAGAATTCTTTTGTTGCCTTTCCCAGATCTGTGCCTTGCAATAATCCTGTCTCTGAGCTCTGCAGGCAGTTCCTTTGATATCATGGCTTATGCTCTGATACAGTATGCATTGTTAGAGCTCAGCGAAGCTGGCCCCCCTTCAATCAGCACAAATAAAAACTCCAGTTTGTTCCTTTAGTGCTGTTTTGTGCTGTAAAAATTAACATGTGTGCTGCTATTATTTTTAAGATAATAGCAGTTGTTTTTTTAAGATGATGACATCACCCAGCCCCCAACAACAGTCAAAACACACGCAACTTGCTGGTTAGTTAGTGCTATGTTTGTGCTGGTTTGTGCCATAAAAATCAACATTTGTGCTGCTTTAATTGTTAAGATAATAGCAATTATAGGTCACCAAAGGTTTTAGGATAATTGCTGTTATTTTAAAAATAAAAGCAGCACAAATGTTAATTTTTATGGGACTAACCAGCTAACCCGGTTACGTATCTTTTTGCTGTTGTAGGGGGGCTGAGACCTTTGGCGACCCTTAATAAATAGTTAATAACTCAAAAAAGAAAGGAGATAGAATGGAGATTTAAGTGGCACAAACTAGCACAAAGATGGCACTAACCAGCCAGCCCAGTTTTGTGCCTTTTGGCTGTTTTATGGGGGCTGGGTGATGTCATCATCTTATAAAAACAACACTTGCTATTATCTTAGAAATAAAAGCAGCACAAATGTTAATTTTTACAGCACAAACGTAGCACTAACCAACCAGCAAGTTGCATGTGTTTTGGCTGTTGTGGGGGGGCTGGGTGACCTTTGGTGACCTTTAATAATTAGTTAATCACTCGAAAACAAAAAGATATAGAATGGAGATTTAAATGGTACAAACCAGCACAAACGTGGCACTAACTAACCAGCAAGTTTCGTGTTTGTTGGCTGTTGTAGGGGGGCTGGGTGATGTCATTATCTTAAAGAAAACAATTGCTATTATCTTAAAAATAAAAGAAGCACAAATGTTTATTTTTGTGGCACAAAACAGTAAAACCGTGGCACTAAAGAAACACACTGGAGTTTTTATTTGTGCCAATTAAAGCAGGGCCAGCTTCGCTGAGCTCATTGTCAGCTGTGAGGCCTACTATAGAGAGGTGCGTGTGCCTTTCCAAATCATGTCCAATCAATTTAATTTACCACAGGTGGACTCTGATCAAGGTGTAGAAACATCTTAGCAATGATCAAGAGAAATGAGAGGCATCTGAGCTAAATTTCAAGTGTTGTTGCTGAATACATATGTCAATGTGATATTTCAGTTTTCATTTTTTCCATACATTTTCCAACATTTCTAAAATTCTATTTTCACTTTGTCATTATGGGGTACTGAGTGTAGATTATTAAGAACAAAAAAAAAGAATTGAAGCAACTGTAGTATCAGGCTGCAACATAACAAAATTGAAAAAAGTGAAGGGGGTCTGAATACTTTCTGAATGCACTGTAAATATATTACAATCACTATAAGAGTATTCACATAAACACACCCAGATTTGATGATTTGTGAACAAAAGAGGTAGTTCAATGAACAATATACATTTATTTGTAGGATAGGATATTTACAAATAACACAAAAAACAATAATTGCAAGTCAAAGTATAGAACAAGTATGGTGCCATTATACCTCTCAGCTTCACTCCTGGTCATATTGAGCATTTTTGTATCTCAGAAAAAAGAGAGTACATGGTTTGGCAGCATAACCTTATATCCTCTCCTTTCTATACAGTGGCCAATGATAGGGTAAATTCCTGTGTCTGTCCTGCAATCTCTAACGTGTGCCGAGGGTCCGTCCTTCGAGTACTCGGGAATAGAGAGCCGTGACAACAGAGTGTCATGGATCAATATTCAAATGTTTATTCCAAACAGTCAACATTTATATACATAGACACAAAGAGGCAACGTTCCAACCAATCAGTATAAGACACATATACAGACATGACATATAGATCATACACAGCACTCATGATGGTCTCATGACTAGTTTCAAGACAAAGCCAATGTAAGGATATCCTCTACGTAACTCTCACAGAATTATCCCAAGAGTAAGGATATATGGTTAAAGGAAGTTTAGGTACGTCACAAGAAAAAAACGAAGCATTGCTCTGTTAGGACACATACTGAGAGCTTAAGATAAGGCAAAGCATAACATTCATTATGTACATTAAGGCATAACTCTTACTATACACAATTCCTCTTAGCTAATATAGGGTGCCACGGTTGACCCCAGCCCGCTACACCTAACCAATGTACATGGGGCAAAACCTGATTGGAAGATATAAATTATTTTGCTGTTTTCAAGCCATGTGAGACGTGATAGAAAAACAATGGCCAGACCTTTGAAGTAGAGTCACAGTAACACATTTGAATAGCATGTTGTATAACATGTAGCAGAGAGTATAGCAGAGAGTTGTGTAACATGTGGAGGCAAAGAATCAATGGTTTGAATATATGCCCATATATCAGAATATATCATCAATATATTACATAAGCAAAATGTTGTAGTATAACAGGGCTTACAGTAAGAAATTAGTATTGTAGGCAAGGGATCCAGGATCCTAGGGAGGGATGATGGTGGTTAGGTTCTGCTTGACAAAGAACATGTTCATGCAATTTTTTTCTTCCCCTCTTTTTCAGGAGTTGGCTACAGCTTTCTTAGTGGGAAGAAAAAGGTTTGTTGCTATTTTTTGTTGGTCGTTTTTTGGGCAGTCAATTATGTTATCAATAGAGTTTTTTCAAAGACATTATTACATCATTATTTCTCAG